ACCAGCCTCCGTTGGCACCTCAGGAACGATGGCAGAGCTGCCCGCCTCTATTGGTCCTCGAATGTACCGCCCTCCATGGGACGGAAGGGTCCTGCTTTACAAGGATGAACCGATGCTTGTCGGCCGCATCCTCGCTTCCTCCGTGTTGTCCCACCTCGATATCATCGGCCATCTGCTTTCTTCTTCCTCCATCACCTTGTTATCGCCACCATCATCATCGTTGTCATCGTTGTTGGTGTCCTCCCTCATTCTTGCACCCACGACCTTCGCCGCTTCTTCCTCTTCTTGTCCTCCTTCACCTTCCTCACCCACCGCCGACCTCAACGTGATTTATCGCCCTCATGGCCGAATCCCTCAGCAGTGGAGCCTGGTGATCCATGATTATGAGGTCCCTCGGCTGGTCCTACCCCTCTCAAAGTTAGTCCCATGGGGCTAGGAAATAAATTGAAGAGAAAGCAGGAGAAAGGGAAATTTAAGAAGACGACGTAGCCTGGCTCTGACCACATTAGAGGATGCCCCAACACCGGGTAGACGAAGTCAAGGGTGACACCCGCATTGTCCCGCAAAGGCTCCATCGCCTCCTTGATGTGTTGCATGATCTTGAAGTTGGGGAGCGTTCCCTCGGGGAGTGCCGTTCTGTCGAACGACGCCTTGGGTACGATCGCGTATAGCGAGAGCGCACGCGTCATCAACGGTGCCACCCTCTGCGCATGGTAGGCCCCGATGATGTCTGACCTTTTTAGGTCATTCTCCTTCAGGATGTGGATGGCGGTGATGTGGTCTCGGATCTTCATTTTGTCCTTCTCTGGAATGCCCCACCTCCTCCACTGCTCTGGGGCCTCTTCGATCAGGCGTCCGGTGAACTCCAGCAGAGGGGCAGCGGTGTCATTCTTGAGATATAACCACTGCGAGTGCCACCCCTTGTTGGATGTCGAGAGCCGCATGGACGGGTACTCATTGACCTGATTGTTTCGAAGTTGGATGCCGACGCACCCCATCGGCATGTGCAGCTCCTGTCTGTTGCCCTTCTCCCTCTTCCTCTAGAGGCTGACGGCAAAGAAATACCTCCACAAGTCAAAGTGGGGGATGATCCCTAGGAATCCTTAGCACAGCGCGACCAATGCCATCATGTGCTGGATCTCGTTGGGATTGAGATGCTGCACCTCAATCTTGTAGAAGTACATCAACCCCCAAAGGAATTTGTGGGTGGGGTCGCAAGCCCACGCTCGTGGAAGTGGGCAAACGACACCACATAGCTGATAGCGGCGATGGCGAACCCTCATCGCTGTGCAAACAACCACTCCTCGATCGAGGTCCACGTGCAAAAAAGAAGACAGTGGCGGACAAGGCCCTCCATGTGCTAGAAGGTGATGTCGAAATGGCACCATGGATCCATTGGAGGTGGGAGCGGATGGATGCGAGCTCAATCAGCAGGGAATTACAGAGGCAGGAAACCTAAGCGTTGGTAGCGGCGGTGTGGCTATGGATGCGTGCATGCGATGAAAACCAGGAGGGCTAACCCTTTGGCTTTATAGGGGCGATGGGTGCGAGGAAACCAACCACCTACCTAGATCTCCGTGCCTACCACTACCTGTCACCACGTCTCGTCATGGGGCATGCGCAAGCAACCTATGGTCGTCCCCTCAAAAAACATGCCGGACATTTTGCCTCCCCGAACGGGCCATCACTCGTCACAGGTAAGAGGGGTACGGAGCTAAAAACGCTCTTACGGCCTGTCTAAGCCTAGGAGTTCGAAGGTTGGCCCATCGACGGGTTCGACAATTGCTCTGCACACTTTAGAGTGAGGGGTGGAAAGGGATGGGCCTGCTAGCGGCCAGTACCTAGGAGCACGAGCGTCGCGGGCATCCTGGCCCATGTTCGAGCCTCGGATGGATACAATCCATGGTTTTTCCTGGAAGAAAGGCAGAGAGCCCTCGGAACGATCAAACGGACCTGAGAACTATATGGATTGACCATTGAGAATCTAGAGTCAGTCACCAGCTGACCCAAGCCAGACCCCCACGAATGGGATTCCAGGGCCCCACTCAGACTAGCCCGTTAACAACTCACCGAGCACCATTGCTCGTCCATAGAGGAAAATCATGGCACGACTCAGCCCCTCTATTTTTATCAGAAAAAATGCTTGAGGGAAGATGATCACGAAGATGAGCTGACCCTCGACTGGACCCCTGCTACATACGTGGGCTCGAGAAAAGTTGGACTCGCAAGGAGACCGAATGCACGGTCGCAGAACAACAGACCCCCGTAGGGGTTGAAATCTAGAAAGACCTTTTCCAACCCACCAAATCTCACGGCTATACCCCCAAGAGGCCCGATCACAACGAAAGAGAATCACCGTCCCCAGGACACGCTGTGGGCGACAAGAAGAGGCCAAGGCCCTCAGAGTCCTCCCGTTCAGAAAAGCCTCCAAAGGAGTATTCTACTGCTCCGTAGGCTCGGGGGCTACTATCGGGGACCAATACTAGGATGCCCGAAGAGGAGGAGCTAATGGTCATCAACATTGATTCAATCGAGCAGTCAAGAGAGCACCTACAGCTCCAACCGACCCCTAGGTGCATGGGCTCCACCTCGTCCGACCCCGAGGCCGCGATCTCCACCTCGCCCGACCTCCAGGGGAGGGCTCCGCCTCGCCCGACCCTGAGGCTGTGATCTCCGCCTCGCCCGACCTCTGGGGCAGGCTCGCCCACACGACCTCGAGGCCACACGGGCCTCGCCCAACCCCTTGGGTATGGGCTCTGTCTCACCCGACGGGGACCCATACCACGCCAACCACTCTAGGTCCAAGCGTATGGGCCTAGGTCAAAACTCGACACCAATGGAGAGATCGGCACGCCTCGTTGTAATTAGCCTGGCCACGACGGGCCATACCGAGGATTCACATCAAGAACGGTCAGCGTATTGCAAAGTGCTATTCTACCTAACCTCGTCCAAACACCGACAGCATGCGATTCACCACGACGTCCGCTTACGATAGAGTAGAGCACCATGGTGGCGGATGACTCTCGCGCAAGATGGCGCTAGTAGCGACTAGGACCACGACGTGGAGCCGTCCCTATTGACATCTCTGAGGTCGGTGGGACCCGCATTAAGGAGAAGAAGGACATAGCTATCATAGAGGCCTTCTCTCTCTCGTTCTTCTCCTTTTTCCTCCGCTATAACCCGCGCTTTCCTTTGGCCTATAAAAGAGAAAGCGGGCGCCCTATGAAGGGGATCTCGAACTGACCGATCGACCCATCAAGATTCGATATAGATCCGCACAGAGCATGACACGAATGCAATACGGTGGCAAAGCGATCGAGCTCTTAGCACCCACTCACTCCTTTCACCAGAGACTTGGGATCTTTTCTCTCTCTCGCCCGTTTATGACCCCTACTACAAACTTTCGGTGCTAGTAATATGAGCAAGCAGTGACGAACTGGACGTAGGGACTTTCTGCCCGAATCAGTATAAACCTCGTGTCATCTAAGCACACCATCCGAGCCAGACGCGCAATAATACAAATTTACTCGTCGGTGATAACTCGAAACACCGACAATAGACGATTCTCCTTTTAGAGCTACGTGTGTATCAAAAGTGGTTTGATGATTTTTCATGGTCTATCGAGGTATCGATGTTCAACGTGGGTGTAGCGCTGATTGAATTCTACAACATATTTTTCTTGCACTCTTTTGACTCATTTTTATTTCTTTGCTATATCTTTTTCATGGACACTATTACATGTTGATTTCTAGGATAATGTGGTGGTTTTTAGTCCTTAGAGGAAAAACGATGACTTTTTATCTATAGTGATACATATGCAAATTAAACTAATGTTTTTAAAAGTTCAATTTTTAAATTTAGATGTAACTGTAAGGTAACAAATAGTTTAAAAAAGTAAGGATTATAGTGATACATCTTGAATTGATGGATTTTTATTGTAATTTTCTATGAACTTTTGTTGGCGTCGATGCATTTTCTATGTTTCTTGAAGACATGTTCGCGAGCGAAGAGTTTCAAGTTTATAGTAGTTATGAAAATATTACTTGGTTATGATTCAAACACATGTATTGGTTCTTTTTTTATACGGATAGAACATTATTTAATTTACAACATCATAGGTGCGGAAAAGTTACTTAAATGTAATATTACATGTACCTAAATTTAAAATCTAGACAATTTCACGAAAGCCAAAGGTGCATAATTTTTTTCAACTAATCTTGTAATTTTTAGTAAATAAATATCAATAGATTATCATAAAATTCAATGAACATTTTTTCTTTTTCATGATTCATCTCAAAATTCTAAACCCTCTTGACAAATGTAGAGCTTCTTCTAACACAATTATATACATATCTATATCTATACCTAATTTCAAAGAGCCAAAATTTTATCCTTTTTTTCCATCCACCTCCCCCTAACTATATATTTGGGTAGTGGAAAGTTTCTTCCGTCTTGCTTTTTTACTTCGCAAAGTGCACTCACAGGGCCTTCGTGTCTTGTACATGACGACCCAAATTTATGACATTACATTTCTCATATATGACTTTGGACTCACGATCCGCATTAATATGGGTTAGAACAACTCGTGTCTAGTAATAATGCGGAGTCCGATTTCTATACGTATTGAGTCGTATTGCAACGTACGGATATGTTTACCAATAATAGATAATACCAAATATTAATATGATGTGCCAAAGTACTACCACGTGCCATGTGTGTGTACTAACTATGCATTTACCTCTTTTTTCTAGAACATCTTTTTTTGCGAAATTTATTTATGTGAAATTGCTACGTACGCTCCCGAAAAGCCTAGACATATACACTCCCTTTGGGAGTACATACTTAAGCACCTTAAAATTAACGCGTGCCTCACTCATACTTTACCGCGTGTTTTCTATTATAAAAGCTGACCATCGGGAGGAGCCGCAGAGGGAAGGGAGCACAAACACACACAAAGAAGTTTCTTCCTAGAGAGAGACAGGCAGCGCTCGCGCTCGCGCATGGCCGCCATCATGGAGTACAACGGCCTCTTGCCTCTGGCGCTGCTGGCAGGGTGGTGCGCCCTCGCGACGGCGCTAGTCTTGGCCATTTCCGCGTGGCTGCAGCGGCCGCGCCGCGTCGCGGAGGCCTTCCGCCGGCAGGGCATCGACGGCCCCCCGCCGCCGTCGTTCCTGTCGGGTAACCTCTCGGAGATGCAGGCGAGGGCGGCTGCCGCGGCGGTGGCGGAGGCGGCCGGCTGCCGCGACTTCCAGAAGGAAGGCTTCGACGACTACTGCAAGAAGATCTTCCCCTACTTCGAGAAGTGGAGGAAAGCCTACGGTACGTCTCCGTCAAATCGTGCGGCTGCTTGTTATTATTATATATATAATATATATAGTACTTAGTGCTTAATACTCGCTAGTAATTTCTTGGATTATCAGGAGGTCGCCGTTGTTCTCATGCAAAAGTTTGTAGGTTCTTGCGCCATAGAGAGAGAGAGAGAGAGAGAGAAAGAACAGTTTTAGTAGTAAGTTGTAGCTTGTTGCCAGCTTCAAGCTAGCATGGCTATACTGCTATCCCATGTTAAAGGTCTGGCATGTTATTTTTTACTAGTAGAAAAGATTGAGGTTTTTATGACAAACAAGATTTTGTGCCTTATTAAACCCAACTTGTAGAAATAGAAATGACAACATCTCATCTCAGTTTTACATGAGCAACATATATATAGATAGATCCATGTGGGTTGTACTGCTATATAGCCCCCAAGCAAGTTGACATATTAGCTAGTTGTAGTTTAACAATTACTGCTAGTAGTGCAAAAAATGTTGCAAAGTCACTGCTTACAACACACAAGTGGGCGAAGATAACACTGCACCCCTACCCAAAGGGGGGTTTGAGTTGTCAATGAAGTCAACATCAGAAAGCTAGTAGCAAGCAAGCAAGTTAAGGAATAAAAGAAAAACAGAGAGAATGAACAAACCAATGCTGCATGATAGAAACTGGCGCAGTCAACTACCGGGTGTCCAGGTTCTTGATCACCAAGTATAATGCTCCTACAATACAATTAAGAAATAAACAAATTAATAAAAAAACTTTCAACAAAAACTATATATATAAGTATACATCTGACTAGTAAGTAATTGCAGACAACACACAACCGCCTAGCTACACCTATGGCAAGCTAAGGGTATCTTTGTTCGTCTAGTAACTACTAAATTTAGTAATTTTTAGTCACTTTAGTAATATTTTTACTGAACGCTATGACTAAAAGCTACTAAAAAGCTTTTTCTTCTCTAGTAAATCTGAAGTTATTAAAAATGACTAAACTATTTAGTAGCTACTAGGGTAGGCAAACACCCTAACTGCGGATAATATAAGGGGGGCAGGTGGCCATGTGGTCAAACTGTCCTGGGCTGCTGGGCATGCACTCCTGTAGTCGCGCGCGGCCGGCCGACCCTGCATATGCATGCACGTATTAATTGCCGGAGAGGGAGAGGAGAGGAAAGGGAGAGGAGAGGGCGTGGATGAATTGGCATGCCTCGGTTTTTCTTGGGACCGTACGGTTTGACCTATGGGGTTGCGCGATGATGCATGGCTACCATGACTAGTCACTACTAGCTGCTGGTCCTCCGTTGTTTTGTTTGACGGGTCCTGATGGTTTCTAAATAGCTAGAGTAGCAAGAATTTTATTGAATATCAAGAAGAGAGATCAAATAGCTAGCGACTCGTAAATAGCTAGTCTAACATGATCTCTTAAAAAATAACTCTCTCACAGCTCATATAACTCTCCACTACAGTATTCTTTTTTTTATTATTTCTAAGCCTCATCTGTCTACCTATTTGCAAGTTGTCATTGAGGACGCCCTGATGGGCTAGCTGCACCTGCCTAGCTCAGCTCAGCTCATCTCTGCCGGTTAGATCGTGTGCATGCAGCAAACTACTGTAATTGTTAGGAGCTATGGCTCGAACAGTAGTGCCATGCGCCGTAAATTAGAAAAAGAAAGAAAAAGGAACAGATAGATATTTCATCTCTGGTCTTAGCTAGCCAGCCCAGTGACCGACAAACACTACTGAATAAGTAAGTAATTGCCCTGGCTGGCAGAATCGTCTGATCTAACTATAGTAGTATTATAGTCGCCTAATCAGGTAGGATTTCCGTAAACGGGCATGCAAGCATGTTGCCCTTAGCTGTCCAAAGCACGCACACCGATCAAAGCTCCATTTCGATCGTGCTAGCTCTCCTCTGAATCTTGACGTCGTCGTCGCCCATGCTCATCCACTGCCTGCCAAAGAGATCGTCGTCAGATCGAGTCCTCTGCCGGACCGGTACGTGGTGCTTGCTGTCATATAGAAACATGATGTGCGTGGCCAGCTGATATATACACTGACCGCAGCGATACGTGTGAGTGTGAACATGTATATTGTACCATACGGCAACCGCATATGTGTATGTATCGATATGCATCTGATGTAATTATATATATAGTTGCATATATAGATATATATATATGAATAATATATAAGAATATACTCCGTATATGAGGGAGATTCCTCTAGTTTCGGTGTTCGGTAGTAGCCTGCATATGCTCGTTGAAGAAGAGAACTAGCTAGAAGAGAATACACTATGGCTGATGTAGTTTTCCTGTTCTCCATTGGTATATGCCTAGAGAATTCAAATCAGAATATATATCTATGTGCAGTTGGAAATTCGGTGCATGCATGATAGCTAGCTGACTTGTTGCGATAAACATATATAATAATGGCCCCTCCTGCCTGTACATATAGCTAGTATAACTGAACCTAAACTAATTATGGAAGTAAATAATTAATATTTGTAGCTAGTCGACGTAGCTTCTCATGTAATAACAGTATAACAACTATACTATAGCCCCTGTCCTGGCCATGTTAGCGTGTGAGAATGCATATCATATTTCTCGTGCATGTTAAGTTTGTTGAATAATGCCTCTTGATGGAAACTCGGAGCAAATTAAATTTTATAGTATGTACATGCGTGTATCTGAAGACTTGCTTACATCTTGCATTCATACGTGGGGCTATCTAGCTTGTTATCTAGGATTCTTGATTTATTAATTCTTTTCTTCCATGTCAAACCCCATCTTAATAATTATGGAAGTTAATTATTAGCTTTATTCATTCTTCATCATAGCACGATCGATGTGGACTAGTACAAAGATTAATTTTATGGTGTGGCCATCGTACGTATACGTACGTACGATATGATAGCAATAATATATACAGTATTGATTATTTCGGCAAGATGATTTTGATTTAATATAAACAATAGTAGTAGTACTAGTATTTGTTTAACTTTGTGTGCTTCTTCTTTCTCCCCTCGTTCAAGTAAAGGCCGTTTGACCAACTCAACACATATACGGAGTAGCTAAATTAAACTATCCTTCAAGTCAATCTTAAGCTATAAACTTCCACAAAACTAATTAATCAAACAACACACATCCCCCCATGCTTATTCCTTCTTTCTCAAGACACCAATAAACAATGAAGCTAATTTAATGTCGATGATGACGCCCTATATATCAATTAGCCAATGCAATTGACTTATGGTTATGATGAACATGTTATAAAATTAGTAGTACACCATACTGTACACCAGATGACATGATATGATCATTTCCAACGGCTTCAAATAATTCAACAACTACTAATAAACCAGTGGCTAGAGGTACCCTGTACGTACCCCTAGGGCCCCCAGTCTAGCTACTAATAAACCAGTCCATCCATATGCTAGTGGATCATCAGTTGTTTCCGGTACAAGCATGCTGCTGCCTCCCCTACAGTGACATTGACTAGCAGCATGTTCGGGAGGCCGTATCGTATCGTGGATTATTTACTGCTGGCTGGTTTAGTGTGAGAGAAAAGTACTGTTCTCGGCTGGAAATTTACGATCGTTTACGAGCAAGCGAACAGGTTATCAGCCCTAACCTCTAGGGCAGGGCTCCAATGGCTCATAGCTAGCATTCCTAGTCGTCCTAGCTGAGGCTAGCTGACGAAAGGATCATGCTCATGCATGCACACACTGCAGACAGCGCAGTGTGGTTGCATGCACACATGCACTGTGTCATTGGTACTGCAACAACCGTGCATCCGGCCCTCTCTCTCTCTCTCTCGCTCGCTCGCCACCTTTAAGGACGACGTGCGTGGGACTGAAAGTCTGGATCGAGCTGAACGTTTCTTTGCGTCCATGTCCATGGTCCATCGATCTCTATTCTCTCTCCCTCTCCGATCCAACAAGGACTCCACACATGGATCTTCTGATGCATGCATCGTGGCTACCCTGATCATCCCGGCCACCTAGCTACTAGGTGTACGTCTAGCTAGTACACAGGTTGATCTCGATCGAGCGATCTATTTCGTGGAGCTAGCACGTACGATATATGTGATGCAGATCAAAGCTCTTTTTAATCGTCTGATTAGCCTTTTCAGAGCTTTTCTTTGCCCAATAGCTAGGTTGAACACATGCGTCTGCCTAGCTAGTTGGCCAGAGTGTGATGTACGTGCATGCCTACCTGTGCTGTACGGTAATGTCTCACCATTTGCACGTACGATCACACATATATATAGATAGATACATAGTGACGTGCGTAGATGAGATTCATGTGTCTATTCGGTTTCATTTGTTGTGTAGTAGTGTGTAATAACAGAAGGACCGTGAATCCGGCCCCACAAGGGTACGTAGTAGCGTACAAGTGTCCCCGAGATCCATAGCACGCCAAATGCAACTGAATCAGTTCGTGCGCGTACTGCTAGTTGTTGAGTGGCTTGCCATCATCGACAGGCAACCACATTTCCTCATCATGCCGATCCAGGCCAGGGGAGGAGTCCCTTTCGTGTATGAGATATATACTCTCCTTCCGTTCCAAATTGTAAAGCCGTTCTGCCTTTTCATAGTAAAAAATATGTCCTCTAGAAGCGCTTAGTTTAGAATAGAGGGAGTACATACATTGGCGGACGGGATGGATCGGAAGGATAGTACTGTCTCACGGTATATGCAGCGAATGAGGCCAGCATCAGCTGCAAGCAAGCGAGCAGAAGCACGTCGCGACATTGGCGGACGTCATGGCCGACGTATATACACGGGTGGACGGGGCGTGACGTGACGCGCCCGCGCGCGAAGGACGATCTGCAACGGCCAACTCCCCTGCTAGAGGCCGACCGCCCGTCCCTGCTGGATCGGTGGCATGGCAAAGTGGCCTCCCTCCGATCCGGCTAGTACGTAGTAGGTGCCCGCGCGCGCGCTGGTCCAGGCATGAGATGCATGCATGCACCCCCACGCCACAACGACAGATGTGTGACGATGATCCATGCATCGATCCATCCCTTCTTCGCCAAGCAAAATGCAACGACCTCCGACCCTGATGGTACGTATGTACTGCACGTAGACATGCTGCTAGTCCTAGGCCTTGTTAGATACCCTCAAAATTCCAAGTTTTTTCACTCTCTCTCTATCACATCAATTTTTAGCCGTTTGAATGGAGCATTAAATATAGATAAAAAAATAACTAATTGCACAGTTTAGTTGGAAATCACGAGATGAATCTTTTGAGATTAGTTGGTCCACGATTGGACAATATTTATCAAATAAGACGAAAATGCTACTATTCATCGGGTTGAAATTTTTTTCGATCTAAACAAAGCCCTAGGTATATGAGATGTGTGCGCACACCACACGCACGAGCTATTGCTTACGATGTCGGCGAGTAGGGGCTTCGTTCGTACGTGCGTTCACATCTCGATCGCGCGCGACGCGGACGGACACATTCAGGTAGCTAGCAGGAGCAGAGGGATCGGTGTGAACACGAAGCAACAAGCGGCCGGCGAGGACGGATCGGAGGACCACCCCACCATGGCTGTGGGCGAAGTGATGCTGAAGTCAGCTGGTGGCTTGCGGCCGCGCGTTAAGAGCCTGTTTGGTTGGAGACCTGGAGGACTTGTCTGGCAAAAAGTGTTGCCTGCCTGAAAAGTTGATGATTTTTGTCTGGCAGGCAAGTCTGAAGAAGGTTTGTTTGGTTGAAAGCTTGTGCCTGGATAGACTAATAAAGATATAATACCATCTTTAAAACATACGTAATATTATTTGTATTATTCGTATCAAGATAAACTATTTGTATTAGTCTTTTCCTAAGCTCGTAATATTATTTACAATAATTATTTTTTCTATATTAATTAGAGGGAGCACGAGAGATTGAAGGAAATAATTGTTTTGCAAGTTTGTCGACTCCGCAAAACCATGCCTTGATTAAGAAAAGAAAAAGACGATGAAACCATGCGATTAGCAGGTCACACGTACTTCCGTTAGCCCAGGCAAGTGTGCTCGACCCAGGCGCTCGATATCGGATGCCTGGTTGGGGAATCTATTGCCTGGAGCAGGCAAGGTTCCAGGGCTGCAACCAAATGGTACACAGGCAAGGACCAGGCAGCTGTCCATCCAGGCAATTGGAGCCCAGGCTTAGAACCAAACAAGCCCTAACTGCATCTGCATGCAGCTCTGCTCTGTTGGTTGCGGCTGCGGCGTCAATCTGGATCTGCAGAATCAATCCCGGTCAAAATTCAGTGGAGTTCACTGATCAGTCAAAGATTCAGCTGCTCAGGAATATTCTCTCCGCCCTCTGTTGGTTGCGTGATGAGCGGTGAAAGGATCTTGCCAAGATACCACGGGACAGTCAGTGCGTGGGCCAGTTGATCCCGCCGCCCCCCCCCCCCCAAAAAAAAAAAAAAAAAAAATTCCCAAAAAAAAAAGTGCGTGGGCCAGTTGGCCGGATCCACGCCGGGGAACGTGTAGCTTTGACCGGAGTTTGTTAAGGCCAGTCAATCGATCGGTGCCCAGGATCCTGGAGCTATGTAGGATATACTGAATTACTCACGCCGTTCTAAAATAATTGTACGTATTTTTTTCTTTAAAAGTTAACTTTTAAAAAATTAATTAGTTTTATAAAGAAAAATATATAATCCACATTTCTATACTAGGTTATCGAACACGCATCACAATGTGTGCACATGTGGTGGACAATGATGATACTACCTCTATCTTAAAATAATACAATTTTATGTGCATTCTTTGTTCAAGTATCTAAAGTCTAAAGTTTTATTAAATATATAGATAAACATAGTAGTGTTTATGGCATCAAATTGATACATTGTGAAAATATATCTCATAACAAATCTAATAATATTTATTTAGTAACATAAATATTAATATTTTTAGTTCAATTCAAGATACGTTAACTTGACTGTCCTAGAATTGTATTTTTTTTTTCCCTGAACTGCGTAAAGTTGCCGTGTGGCCCATCTATTTTGGACGACATTGGTCTCGGCCCACAGCATAAAGGCAGCGTCTCAGCCCAAAAGGCAACGGGTCGAAACAGCTGCCGCATGCACTGCCCAGCGAGCCCAATCAGATGACTTCTCTTCGAACCCAATTAAATGACTTCTCTTCGAGCCCAAGAGCATTCATTCCTTTTCCTTCCAAAAAATGTTCCTTTTCTTTTCCCTTGTTTTGAACTGACCCGCGCGGACCGACCGCTTTGTGTTTCGGTAGGCGAGACGTACCTGTACTGGCTACGCCGCCGGCCGGCGCTGTACGTGTCGGACCCGGAGCTGATCCGCGAGATCGGGCGCTGCGTGTCGCTGGACATGGGCAAGCCCACCTACCTACAGAAGGGGCAGGAGCCCCTCTTCGGCCGCGGCGTCCTCAAGGCCAACGGCGCCGAGTGGCATCGCCAGCGCAAGCTCATCGCCCCCGAGTTCTACATGGCCAAGGTCAAGGTAACAAAGACGACGATCGCCGCTTATTGCCATCCGATCGACCGACCTCCGCATCCGCGTTTGTGTTTGATTCGTCCGGTGCGCGCGCCGGCGCCGCGCAGGGCATGGTGGAGCTGATGGTGGACGCGGCGCAGCCGCTGATGACGTCGTGGGAGGACAAGGTCGCCGCCGCGCCGGGTGGCGTCGCGGAGCTCGACGTGGACGAGGACATCCGGAGCTTCTCCTTTGACGTCATCTCCAGGGCCTGCTTCGGGGGCGACTACTCCAGGGGGCGGGAGATCTTCCTCCGGCTCAGGGCGCTGTCGGGCCTCATGTCCGAGACCAGCGTCATCTTCACCATCCCGTCGCTCAGGCACCTGCCCACGAAGAAGAACCGGAGGATCTGGAAGCTCACGCACGAGATCCGGTCGCTGATCCTGCAGCTGGCGACCGAGCGCAAGGTGGCGGCGCCGGCGCCCGGCCGCGACTTCCTGGGCTCCATCATCGACAGCAGCCGGGACCAGCCGCGCGCGGACGACTTCGTTGTGGACAACTGCAAGAACATCTACTTCGCGGGCCACGAGACGAGCGCGGTCACCGCGACGTGGTGCCTCATGCTCCTCGCCGCGCACCCGGAGTGGCAGGACCGCGCGCGCGCCGAGGCCCTCGACGTCTGCGGCGGCGCCGCGGCACCAGACTTCGACGCGGTCGCCAGGATGAGGACGCTGCACGCGGTGGTCCTGGAGACGCTGCGCCTCTTCCCGCCGTCGTCGTTCGTGGTGCGGGAGATGTTCCGCGACATGCAGCTCGGCAGCAGGCTGCGCGCGCCCAAGGGCACCTACCTCTTCGTGCCGGTGTCCACCATGCACCACGACGCCGCCGTCTGGGGCCCCACGGCGCGCCGGTTCGACCCGGGAAGGTTCCGCGACGGCGTGGCGGCCGCGTGCAAGCACCCGCAGGCGTTCATGCCCTTCGGCCTCGGCGCGCGCACCTGCCTCGGACAGAACCTCGCGCTCGTCGAGGTCAAGGCGCTCGTGGCGCTCGTCCTCGCGCGCTTCTCGCTCGCACTGTCGCCGGACTACAGGCACGCCCCCGCATTCCGGTTCATCATCGAGCCGGAGTTCGGCCTGCGCCTCCGCGTGCGCCGCCTCGGCCACTGAGTGCGAGTAGATGTTCAGGTGTTTGGAGTTGCATTTTTTAAAGGCCTACACTAGCTAACACGTGAAAAAAAAAAAAGAAGGAAAGTGCACCGTTCAACACACAAGCAATAATAAGGTTATACACGTACATGATGGATGGTAAGTAATACCGAAGAACTTTGTCAGCGCTATGTGAATTAACACCCGACAACCTCAGTTTCAGTCGACGCAAACATATCTTCTTGATTCAGTTGTTTAATTGGTATCAAACTATCAACACTCGTCTGTAAATTCATGTGAAAACAGGAAAAATGACTTGGATTGGAGGCCAATTGACTGACACCAAAACAAAGCAACGCGAGAAGTTTCAGAAATCACATCAGGGAAAGGGACGGTTTCTTCGAGGGGCACTCTAGCACTCTCGCAGTCATGCTTGACGCATGAGCAATTGCGCACATCACGGTGGCGAGACCGCGAGAAGGTGCTGTGTATCTCTTGCATCCATTCTCTTATGCTATAGGCGTTTGGTTGAGTGAACAAACGTACGACAGGGACTCCTGTGACCGGTGTCCTCTGATTTCTAACTTAGTATAGCACTAATAAAATCCCGCAGGTTGCTCGGTTAAAATCAGGAAAGCGCAGTGGAGACTGATGGCGAATTTGACATCTACCTCGCGTCCGTGAAGCCAGTCTCCTCTGCGGCTGTATGCCTGTATCTGCCTTGATTGGTTCGAAATGTTGGGAGCAGGTGGTGGTTTTGGTTCGAGTACATACATAACCAAGAACGCACCTCTGTGGTGTGCCAGAGGAGCTCAACAACGTCGGGTGTGCGAGCGAGCCGCCAAGTCGGCCAACCATGTCCGAGTCAGGCAGCATGCCGCCCGAGCGCCACTACCCGCCCCAAGGACCCCAAAAGGTCCGCCGCCGCCGGCGCGTCCTCCTCTGCCTCGCCTTCACCGTCCTCGTCCTGCTGCTCCTCGCCGCGGCGGCCGCCATCGCCCTCCTCGCCATTCTCCGCCCGCGGGACCCCGTCACGGAGCTGGTCTCGGTCAACGCCACGGGCGTCCTCCCGAGCGTCGTCCAGCTGCCGACCGTCTCCGTCCAGCTCAACCTCACCTTCCGCCTCGTGGTCCGCGTCCGGAACCCGAACCCGGCCGCGTTCCGCCACGGCGCCGCCACCACGTCCCTCTACTACCGCGGCGCCGCCGTGGGCTACGGCGAGGTGCCGGCCGGGACCGTGCCGAGCCGGGGCGCCACCACCGTCCGGATGAACATGACGGTGCAGGCCGACCGGGTCGTGGCGGCCGCCGGGATCGGGGGCCTCATCGCGGACGTGCTCGCCGGCGAGATGGAGTTCGAGGCGAGGACCGAGGTGCCGGGCACCGTCGTGCTCCTCGGGTTCGTGAAGCGCAGCGTCGAGGCCAGATCGGTGCGCCGCGTCGTCATCGGCGATTCGGCGTCGCCGACGTCAGCGTTCGGCGCCAGGAGTGCGACTACGAAGTCAAGCTGTGAAGTGTCTTGATCTCGGCGATCATGCTTATGCTGTGCTGTGCACGTACCGTTCGTGAACTTGTACATGTATCATATACAGTATATATATACATTCATGCGTATATTGTCAATTTTTTTTTGAAGAATAATTTGGTGCATAGCAGTCTCTGTTCTCTACGGACCTCCACTTGTTCTACTTTACTGTTTTTAGTGTTTTTTTCTAGCAAAGGTGTCCGCACAAATAGCACGGATATCTAGCCTTTTCATAGTAACATTTGGATTTTCCTATTGAAAATTTTACTTTTTACAATAATATATTGTCTTTATTACACTGCGTTGGTCTTCCCTCCATACACCCTAGTGTATCCATAGCCAAACTTTACCGGGTCCAATTGCTCGCATACTGAACGTGGTTGTTCCCTTAGGCTTTTAATTGTTTTCTTGCTATTCTTCGGTTTCTTATTACAAGCGGCATGAGTTTTTCTTCTTCACCAAATTAGCACAAGACTCAATTCCTTTCTCACGAGTGTTGTCTTTTGCTCTTGGCTTCTCAACATCAAGCGATATAATAAACTCAGCCACGTTAAACTCTTCTCTATTGTGTTTTAGAGAGGTAGCAAAATCCCTCCAAAAAGACATCAACTTAGTGATGATACCACTAGCCACAAACTTGTCAAACAACACATGGAAACGCTCTGAGTTCCATAAGTAGTGCATGTATCTCAGGAGCCTGTTCTGTTATCGAATAATTATCAACCATTTTGTGGTTAAACAACTGTTCCACGATGTACAACTTGCTATCAGCATCAGAAACACCGAATTTTGCCTCAAGTGCATCCCATATTCCTTTGCCAGTTGTGTATGACATGTATACGCCCACAGTGTTGTCTGCAAGAGCGCTAACCACGGCGCCTCGAAAAAGGTTATCGGCAACCTTGAAGCTTTCTCCTCCTCGGGAGTAAAATATTTGGTTTTCCCTGTGTGGCGTGGTAGCAACTCATAGCAATCAACCACAGAATCATCTTAGCACGTCATCTCTTATAATTTGGATCAACAAATGCATTCGCTTCAACGAAACAGCAAAACCACTAATAAAAAATTGTCTAATATTATGTTTTTGGATTGATAGATATTTAGACATTTTCATGTTTAATTTAATCCAGAAAAATATTAGTAAATTCATGACATCATATATGTCCATGTGTGAACTACAATTAATCGCTACAGTAGCAACCATGACGAACTTATTGATCGTAAGCAATACAAATATCTTACTAAACACAGAAACAATAAGATTATAAATATACCCAGCGGAGGGACCATAACCGAAGGCTCCGGTGGCTCCATGTGTACTAGTCGACATAGTATATTGCTCGAAGTCGCAGACCAAAGTCAGATACAGGAAGGTGTTTGCAGTGCAGTCCCGCGAACGTCCACCGGAAAGAAGATGCAGATGATCAGCGAACTGTTGCGTTAGACGCTCCCAAAAACCTGATCACCCGGCATACCTGAGCAGGCGTCGCAGACGCAGGCGTGGTTTTGAAGGCATGCTCTCCCAACGTCTGTGCATGCAAGAGTTGAGAAGGGGAAACTAGAAAGCAACAATAATAGAAGAACCATGGTGTGCTTAATGTGTATGTTTCACGCGTGAAACTAAAGGCGAGCACCCTTCTTGTAGGCAGGAGAGATGGAGAGCGAAGAGGCAGATGTTGAATCTGGACGTCATGAAGGCGTTTATTAGTTACCAGCAACCGCAATCATAATAACAAAGAGTTACTAGTAACCACGGACATAATCATGACCTTTACAAATTCAACCATTAACCACAATCAACTCGTCATTAATCAGCTCAAATGACTAAACCAGCCCACTCGGCACCACCATGCCGTGGATGTCCGATCTGACCGCCCCCGTGTTCATCGCATCACGCAGTTTTATTGTACCTGGCATTTAATCTATAAGTTATGATTTTATTAGATTTCGATTTAATAAAATTAAGCCAAGCCTAGTAAAATCTGACAAGACCCGGCGTCGTGGCCACCCTCCCACGTACGGAGTAATTGCTATTGTCCCCACCCTCACCGCAAGCTATTTGGAGATGGAGAACCTTGGGTCCTCGATGGATCAAGACTCCGATGGGCACAATTCTAGCTTTGGGGCTAGAAGTTAGTTGCGTGTTTAGTTTGCCACCGCAGGCAGTCGACCCTCGCCACGCTCACCTAGTTTGTTTTGCATGTCACAGTTTGCCCAGTGTGTGGTGACGAATCGTCGGTCACACTTTTGACATGGCTTCGTTGCCGACGGGGCATGTGTAGGCACGCACATGCACCAAACATGTCTTGAATCTCACGCCGTTCTCTTTTTTCTAATTTATTAAGCACCATAAAATCATTTTGTTTAATTTCTCTGGACTCAAATTTTTGAAATTCACGAATTTTAGTAATCTCAGCTATGACCATTGAAAACATACAAATCGAAAATTGGAACATGTAGCCCGCCGTCTTCTTTTTCATCTTCTAGCTGTTAAAAGTTTCTGGGGTTCGTTCGCGGTGTTGAGTGTTTCTGATGTGATGAATGATATAAAAACGCTTAACTGATGGTCTTTGCAATTTAAAGGCCGGGTTGTCGCCCTTGAACTCTAAAAAAAATTTGGAACCTTGGCCTACAACATTAAGTACAGTGATCTTGGTCGCATCTACGAGAGCTTCTCACATGTCCATGGCCACCACTAAACTTAATTACGATTGCTAAAAAAACTAAACTTAGTTACAGCCATTTTGTCTTGACAAAATAAAAAAAGTCTTATATTCTTTAATAAGTGGATCTGTTGGATTTAGGCCAAAACTGGCAAACTCCGCCACTGCTGCTACGAAGAGGCCTTTGCCGATGTCACTAACCTCCGAGATGTCATCAACCATCGCGAGTCCAAGATGCCCAGAACGCCAAAATGGGTTGGTTTGGCTACCCGCGGCCAGCCAACTTCCAGTTCCAGGCCAATGCGCACAGGAAGTGTCGTCGATCTTGTCCAACACACTCTAATGAACTTCTTTGCCTCTTTTTTACAACCTTGCAGATCTGTTGGCACAAACTATGATTTGTTGCTCGCAAGCCGGAAATCATGCCTCCGCCGAACAGCGCGAGGGAACGGCGCGCGGGAAGGAACTGCACGCGCAAATCAGTCGTAGGTTAGTTTCTCTTTTTTTTCTTTGTTTTCTTATTCTTCTCGTTTCTTTTCTTTTTCTTTTCTTTTCTTTTGCCTTTCTCTTTTTTCTTTTCGTGCTTCATTTTTATTTTTATTTCCTTTTTTATTTTATGTGATTTTTATTATACTTTTCATTTATGTATTTTTATGTTTCTTTTATTTCTTTTTCCTTTCCTTTCCTTTTCTTATTATTTTTTAATCCTTTTCTTCAAATTTTTTTATTTTTTGTTTCATGTGAAATTTTATTATTCTTTTATTATATTTTTTTGTTTTTACTATAATTAATTGTTTTGTTTGTCTTATTTTATTTTATTTTATTTTTTATTCTTTTTGTTTTCTTTCTTTTTCTTTTCTCTTTGTCTTTATGTTTTCTATAGATTTTTTATTTTTTATTTTTCTATTTTACCTTACTTAATTATTTTTTTGTGTTTATTTTTTATTTTCTATATTCCATGAGATGTTGTGTTTATATATGATACACGTGATGCTCTATAATGTATTTTACGATGTTCACGTGGTATATATATGTCATGTTTTATGATGTTTTTTGTGATGTTCATGTACACCACATGTGATATTCTAAGATGTTTTTTATGATGTTCACGTGTTGTAATTGTGATGTTCTTTTTTATCTTATGTTTTCTTTTTTTTCTTTTGATTTTTTATTGTTTTTTCTTACTTCTATTGGTTCTATGATGTTCATGTAGTATACAGTTATGTTCTATGATGTTTATTGTGATGTTCACTTAGTATACATATGATATTTATGTAATATATATGCGATGTTATATGGTGTGATGTTCACTCAGTATATATGTGATGTTCTATAGTGTATTTTAGGATTTTTGAACGGTATTCATGTGATGTTCTTTTAAATTTTTCTCATGTTTTTATTTTTTTCCCTTATGCTTTGATCTAGATTTTATTATTTTTTATTTATGTCATGTATTTATTTATTTTTATGTATATTATGATACTAATTTCATGAACATAAAATTAGAATACTGTTGTTCTCAACCGAGAATATTTTCTTACGAAGATGGAACATTGTTCTGTGAACCTAGAACATCGTCTCTGCTCAATAAAAGAAAATGTTCTATCTTTATAAGATAAATGTTCGTTAATAAAATTTTATCTAAATATATCCACATGGGATCTCGTTTTAAAGAATTTGTTGCAATAAATCTGATGGTGTAATCGAAATTTAAATTGGATCTTTGGTTTAGTAGTTATTACTTTTTAGTTCGTTAAAAGTCGTTTGTATGCGTGAGTTGAGAGCTGACGGGGTGAGGTGAGCCGTGCGCGATTGGCCAGATATGCCCGCGCGCTACCTGCTCCATGAAAACTTTGCGCACGCAACCGACCGACGCGGGGTAGGTTTCGATTGACCGAACCTTAGGCCTTCCACGGTGTGGAAGTGCAGCCTATTAAAAATCAGAAATACTTCTTCTCAGTCGCCTGTTGCGTTGCTTATCTGTCAGTCACATGCACCTACGCCAGTGCTATGCCCGTTCGGCGTCAGTCCCACGACCACGCCGCCCGTGCCGTCGAGAAAGTCTGCTGGAGCCCTGCTCGACAGCGCGCTGACGCTCATGGTGGTCGGGCTGCATTACGGCGAGGATGCGTGGACGGACTGGGGCCGTCGCAGGACGCCGCGTCCGACCGCGTCATGGTCGCCCATCCTCGACGCCGAGAACGTAGGATCCCTCCTTGCCTGCCGACGCTTGCTTCCCACCCATCCCATGAATCTGCAAAGCAAAAACTGAAGAAGACAGGACGCCGGACGGCCGGAGAGTAAGGCCCGGTTTAGTTGCCAAAATTTTTGACAAAGCTTACTGTAGTGTTTTCGTTGTTATTTGACAATTAGTGTCAATCATAGTCTAATTAGGTTTAAAAGATTCGTTTCGTAGATTTCGTCTAAACTGTGTAATTAGTTTTATTTTTTATTTATATTTAATACCGCGTCTAAAGATTCGATGTGACGAAAAATCTTAAAAAATTTAACGTTTTGAAGGGAAATTAAATAGGCCCTAAGAAGAAACGGAGGAGAAGACGGAGATGACGGGTGGGGGAGGTGACTGATGGTTAAGCAAACCATCAGCCACCTACTACAAAGACACACCCATTAAAAATCAGGTCCTGCCACCCAAAAGCAGCACCGCTCATCAGCTGCAGTGAGCATGCAAACCGGACATCGCTTCCGGGCCCACCAGCGCAGGTGATGGGACTCCCGCACAGCCTCACAAAATACGTACCCCTCCATACTTAATAATAAAGGAGTATACGCCGGATTCGGCGACGCCGGAAAACCGGACACCGTAGCTACACTGTTTTTATTTGGTAATAATTGTTCAATTGTTGATTAATTAGGTTCAAAATGTTCGTCTCGCAAAGTATAACCAAACTGTGTAATTAGTTTTTGATTTCGTCAACATTTAGTACTTCATGTATGTACCGCAAGTTTAATGTGACGGGGAATCTTCTTTTTGCATACTGCCAAATTCTAGAATTTGGGGCAACTAAACATGGTCAAAGTTGTTTTTGATAGCGACACGGTCTCCAAAGCATAACTTTAACTACTTACTTTTATAAAGATATTTATCAAAAAATGATATATATAAATTTATGTGAAAATATTTTTTAAGACAAATCTATACATATGGTTTTTACATTTTTAAACTCAATAACTTAAAAGTTATTCATGATTTATATTTCTAATGTTTGATCAAGCTTTGTTTAAAATGACTTCATTTTTTTTACATGGAGGGAGTATTTTACTAACTGGCCATCGATGAATGCAGTTGCACCGCTCCGGAAAATCTCGGCATCGCTGGGAAGTTGGCATCGCCAGCCACAGTGTGAGGAGCGACACCCAGTCACCTTTCTTCATTCTGGGCACCGCTTTGGCGTCACGTTGCAGAAGGCCTTAGGCCCTCCGAGTGTGTCGCCTAAGGCTTAGGTAGTGTCAAAAGAAGAGAGAGAAAATTTGAGCACCGCTCTATACACTGCAGCAACCGATGCCAGTGCCTGAAGTTTCTGGAGCAGATTAAGTAGTTGCTCCGCTGCCTACTTCTGCCTTGTGAATTAAATAATCAAAGCTCGATGCTTTTGCCTAGTACTCCGTACATCAGATAGATTGATGTAGTATTTTATATGGATGTTTTTTTGGTTTGAGTGATGTAACACACTGTGGCTTGATGATGCCGGTTCCGATGAGCCTATGTGTATCGAAAAAAGTTTCAGGCACTCCTAGTAAGCTATGGAGGGCCTAAGTGTTGCCTCAAAAGAGAGAAAAGTAGAGCACCGCTCCTGCCACTTTGAGGGGCGATTCCAACTCTGAGCGACTCCAACTCTGAGCGACGTCAGAAAAAGGTGGAGTGGTTTTAGACTGGTTTGACTTGTTGGCTGATTTGATATGAAAGAAAAATACTATTTATTAACTGATAAGTTATGATTTATAAGTCAAATACGATCAAACGAACAGATTGCTCCGGTTCTAACTTCTTAAAAAATTACGAAGCTGCTACTGTAGCAGTAGTTGGCATTGAGCTTTGAAGACGCGCAAGTGCGGATGGTTGGAAAGACGATGAATATTTTATTAGAGTTATGCTCTATTTGCTGTATCTGGTCCCACATATTTTCTGGCTTTACTGCCACACTGTGGACGGCCTTAGCACCTCCCCAAGCAAGCTGCCAGCCGATCGACGAAGTGCAGCGTGGCGCATGCAGGCTTTATGTCATTATTGTTCACTGTATCACACAGTGCCGTCCTACAGCCTCAGCTTATGCACTTGCTCGTAAACGATAGTAAATTTTCAGTTAGAAACAGTATTTTTTTCTTACACCAAACCAACTAGCAGTAAATAATCCACGACACGATACGGTCTCCCGAACGTGCTGTTGAACAGCGATGCAGCGTGATTCATATCAACATGTTGTTGAACAGCGATGCAGCGTGATTCATATCAACGTCTCATTCTCCGTTACCGATCGCAATCGCACCGTGTCGATGGGGGAATCGGTATCTAGTCTTGTTGGGCGCGAATTCGCGCATTGGCCAGCCAAAAATTAAGCAGCAAATCGGAGCATGCCCATGTGGCCAAGCCATAATAAACCATCCGTCCCTAGCCACGCGCTCCATGCGCGCGGGAGCGTCAAGGTCTGCGGATTTCAGAGCGCACGGTGCGCTGCAACTGGCAACAAGCTGGCCGTGCTTGCTCGAGTATAAATAGGTCACTTTCGAAGCAACCGCCCACACAACGAAGTCACATGCCACTGTGCTCCACGGACCACTAGAGCTTAGAGCTTAGAGGTGCCAGCCAGTCTTCCCCGAGGCGATCGAGTGCGAGGTCATGGGGTCACTGACGACGACGGCGGAGGGGCAGCGGCCGCACGCCGTGTGCATGCCGTACCCGGCGCAGGGCCACGTGACGCCCATGCTGAAGCTCGCCAAGCTCCTCCACGCGCGGGGCTTCGAGGTCACCTTCGTCAACACCGAGTTCAACCACCGGCGCCTGCTCCACTCGCGCGGCGCGCTGGACCGCGTGCCCGGGTTCCGCTTCGACGCCATCCCGGACGGCCTCCCGCCCTCCGACGCCGACGCCACGCAGGACATCCCCGCGCTCTGCTACTCCACCATGACCACCTGCCTCCCGCACCTCCTTGCGCTCCTCGCCAGGGTCGACGCCGACGCCGGGTCCCCGCCGGTCACCTGCCTCGTCACGGACGCCGTCATGTCGTTCGGCTTCGACGCCGCCAGGGAGTTCGGCGTGCCCGTCGCCGCGCTCTGGACCGCCAGCGCCTGCGGGTTCATGGGCTACCGGAACTACAGGAGCCTCATCGACTGGGGCCTCGTGCCGTTCAAGGACGCCGCGGACCTCGAGGACGACGTCGATGGCGGTCGACTCGCCACCGTGGTGACCGGCGCGCGCGGCATGTGCGACGGCGTGCAGCTGCGCGATTTCCCCAGCTTCATCCGCACCACGGACCGCGCCAACATCATGCTCAACTTCCTCATGCGCGAGGCCGAGAGGCTGTCGCTCCCCGACGGCGTCATCGTCAACACCTTCGAGGACCTCGAGGGCGCCACGCTGGACGCCATGCGCGCGATCCTCCCGACGGTGTACCCCGTCGGCCCGCTCCTCCTCCGCGAGCGCCTGGAGGTCCCCGCCGGCAGCCCGCTCGCGGGGCTCGGCTCCAACCTCTGGAAGGAGCAGGAGGGCCTCCTGGAGTGGCTCGCTGGCCGCGCGCCGCGCTCCGTGGTGTACGTGAACTACGGCAGCATCACGGTGATGACCAACTCGCAGCTGCTCGAGTTCGCGTGGGGCCTGGCCAACAGCGGGTACCCGTTCGTGTGGAACATCCGGCCGGACCTGGTGAAGGGCGACTCCGCCGTGCTGCCGCCGGAGTTCGCGTCCGCCGTCCAGGGCCGCGCGCTGCTGACCACATGGTGCCCGCAGGAGGCGGTGCTCCAGCATGAGGCGGTCGGGGTGTTCCTGACTCACTCCGGCTGGAACTCGACCCTGGAGAGCCTCTGCGCGGGGGTGCCCATGCTCAGCTGGCCCTTCTTTGCGGAGCAGCAGACCAACTGCCGGTACAAGCGGACGGAGTGGGGAGTCGGGATGGAGATCGGCGGGGTGGTGCGGCGCGACGAGGTGTCGGCCATTCTGAAGGAGGCCATGCACGGGGAGAAGGGGCGAGAGATGCGCCGGCGCGCGGAGGAGTGGAAGGAGAAGGCCGTGAAGGCGACGCTGCCGGGCGGGCCTGCGCAGACCAACCTTGAAAGGGTCGTCGACGAGGTGCTGCTCTCCAAGAAGAAGGGACAGACTGCCAACGTGTGAATGTGGGCGTAGCTTGTATGGCGTCTTCACTCTTGCCGAGCATATTTCATCATGCATTTCCCCCTCGCTTTGTACTGTTCTGTGATACGTGTCTGAGCCTTGAGCAATTAATTAGAGTCTGTCTATATCACACACGAGTGATTTACACGCCTCTCACACGATTTTTACAGAACATCACGTGTATATCACATGAACATCTAAAAAAACATTAGAAAACATCACATGTATATTATACAAACATCATATGTACTATTTTTAGTATTTGACACATTTAGTTGTTTTACACGTCTCTCAAACGCGATTTTTACAGAACATCACTTGTATACCATGTGAACATCGAAAAAAACATCATAAAACATCACAGGTATACTATATGTAAATCTGTTAGATTTCATAGAACATCACTTATATACTTTGTGAACATCAAATGTATATTGTGTGAACATAAAAAAAATTTGAGTGATAGCAGCCCAAGAATCACCCAAGTGACATATAACTTTTCTGATTAATTACTATCTCAACTTTCACCTCTCAAACCTGAAACCCCAGCTCTCCACTGAAAGGTTGTAAACAATTTTCTCATAGCCTATTTATTTAGTTTCAGTGTGTGGTGGTGCAAAAAATTGGCAACATTGGGCCATGGCTAGGCTCCATCACCATGCAGGGTGAGAGGAATTTATCAATTATTAATAAGCCTTCAAGGCGGGGAGGAAACATATACCGTTCACTATCTCGCCATCCTGAATCTCCTAAGGCCTTATATCATGACTAATAAAGCAGCCAATTGAATTTCCAGTTCAACGATAAATTGAGTTTGTTCGAGTATAATAATCGTTTATCAAAATCATGACCAAGTAGACTTGCACCTTGTCTTTGCTTTACATATCCATCACTTGGACAATAAGGGCGTGTTTAGTTGGCGAATTTTTTTTAGTTTTGGCTACTGTAGCACTTTCGCTTGTATTTGGCAATTAGTGTCTAATTATGGACTAATTAGGTTCGAAAGTTTCGTCTCGCGATTTCTCACCCAACTGTGCAATTAGTTTTGTTTTTCGTCTACATTTAGTACTCCATGCATGTGCCGCAAGATTCGATGTGACACTTTGGGGTGAAATTTTTTGGGAAATAAACAGGGCCTAACTCTTTTTTTTAAACAACTGTCATGCAATTCATCATCATGTAAATATCTGTATGATCAGTACACACAAAGATAGGAATCAAATATAATTATGTATGAAAGCTACAAACCTAAATACATCTCTCTCACTAGCTACCTGGACAGATTGTGGTGTAATCAGTGAAATCAATGTGGACTAGAAAAACATAACTCGGATTGACCTCAACCTTGAGCAGAACAAAGTAGACGAAATTGTTGAAGTAATCCGACTAGAATCACATCATTGGGATGTCCTAATTGAGCATGTTTTTTTTAGATTATAAGCAAAAACTATGCACTGTAAATGAGGTCAATGGATAAACTATGCTCAAGCTTCTGTTGTACTACAATTTATAGTCGGCCAACGCATGTTGTTTTTAGAGAGAGGGCTAACGCATGTATGTGAGGACGTCGCGGTGGGGGGAGAGAAGGACGCCGGGTGGGAGAGGAGGACGTCGAGGTGCGGGAGCGCGCAGCCGCTGGCCAGGGAGACAGCCATGGCCGCCCTCGGGGTAGGCGCGAGGCATGAGAGCGGAAGGGAGGAGGAAGCGAAGGACTGACTGGGTGCAGGAGTAAGCGAGTGAGGCGTCGGACGGACGTCTTAACTTGAGCATTATCGGAATTAGAACAGTGCAGCAAGAATTGAACTAAGGGATGTAATGGATGAACTTATCAGTGACGGAGTGCTCATGAAAAGATCAGTGAAAGAAAGATCAACGAAACAGAGACTAAACTGGACGTCTATGAAATAAATCGATGACACATCATGCATGCACGTACTCCATCACATTTGCAGAGGAGCTATTGGCGGCTGCAGGTGAAAGTGAAACATTCAGAACCTAAGGCAATTACTTGCTGCTAGCTTGTCCCTGGGCTGCTGAAAAGGGAACGCTTTGACAGCGGAAAAACAAGCAGCGACTGCATGATTTGAGAGTCACCGTACAGTCGTCGTCGAACTAGTCGAGCTTTATCGTACCACATTGCGCCTAACCAAAAGCACCAGTGACAGAGCTAAATTTTTAAAAAGTCAAGAGTGATTCCCATCATACAAAAAAAAATATCTAGAAAAATACAGTATTTCTTTTTTTATACAAAGAAAATTTCTTATTTGCACTTCACCCAAATAACGATGAGCCCTTTATTTAAATAGATTAGATCAGATGGTTATGATCATATATTACCATCTAACACATAGGGCCTATTTGGCACAGCTTAGCTGCACTAGTAAAGCTGTATTTAAAAAAAACAGCTTCACGAGCAACTTTATAGATGAAGCTAAACTGTTTTGAAAAAATTGTTTGGCAAAATAGCTTCACCAATAACTTCATACATGGATGGGAGAGAGAAATGAGGTAGAGAGCTGGGATAAGCTATTTTTTTTAGTTTCATCCCAACTTATGTATTTGTGAGAGGGGAGAAAATCAGTTTTATGGGTGAAACTGTTTTAGAAATGAGTGTTTTAGCAAATAAAACAGCTCACAACAGCTTAGTTGTTGTGAGCTATGCCAAACAAGCCCATAATAGATGAAATATTTATTCATTTATTTTGTAAAAATAGAATAAATAAATAAGAAAAATTTAGATATAAAAATCTTCTTTGTAGATCAAATTCAAATTGATGCATGCATAATCAGATGTGGTAAATCTTTTTATTTTATAACCAGATGTAAAATATTTTAACTAGCGTGTTGGCTTTTTTTCTGCATGTATGACATCAGTTTTAGATAGTGTCGTGTTAGGGCCCGTTTGTTTCCACTTCTCCTGGCCACGCTTGATTATAATCTAAACGAAGATTTTTTCGCTTCTCGCTTTTCGTTTCTCGTAGTTCAAATCGCTGAAGCGGCTTACCACATAAGCGAGAATCGGTGAAAATAAGCAAAGCGTTTGGCGGGATTCTCGCTTATTTCCACCGACAAGCCGCTTATAAGCGGAAACAAACGGGGCCTTAAGCCCACGATTTTTTTTTAGACTTGTAACGTGTACCTCCTGGGCTATCTAACGTGTTACGTTTAGGCAGCGATTTTTTTGCCATTCATGTGCATATTTTTTTTCTACATTGGTTAGTTGCCAATCTTTTTCGTCCATGTAACACGTGCTTTCCAATTGTGTATATAATAAGGCCAGTTTTAGTGGAGATTTCATGGCCCTGTTACCAATGCATTTAAATTTTAGAAATAGTATAGAAGAGTTTCATCTCCATGAAACTCTCTCTACTCCCATAAAATTTTTATCATCTCTCTCTTCATAATACGGTGCCACATCAGCCTATTTAATGCCCATGAAACTCTGATGAAACCCCACTGAGACTAGCCTAATATGTTTTCTCTCTATAATTGTGTTAGCCAACGTTATAGTAGACTATAATTTGGTAACATGTCATGTACATGAAATCGAGAGGCCGCAATTTATATTGTTATATAGCCAATTGTCATGGAACGTGTATAATGTAACATCCTCGGTGTTACACCATTAATCATCTACTAAAATATGTCATGAGCATCATACTTATGTGTTAATGCATGTGGTAAAGTGTATAGATCAATTTATGTAACTCAAAATGATCAATAAAAACGCTAAACGAAAGTTGGTTTGATGGTTCATGCATATCAAGTAGGGTTTAAAATCAATTTTTATTAAGCAAAAATGCTATATGACATATATGTGACGCTTAAATAAAGTTGGAAGTGCAAAATTTATAGATGATAATGAAATACTTGCTGTTGAAAAAGAATATTGCTAAGTAATATTTTCAGTAGCTTAGAAATGCAATACGAAATTAAGATTAGCTCAGACGCTTAGAAAATTTCGAAGTATGTGAACAGCTAGACGCTGCTATGTTTAGCAATTTATTTGAAGAGGTTGGGTTAAGAAGTGGTGTAGTGCTATGATTCGATTTAGTAGCTTCATATGTCATCTTGAGTGTAGTGAAGCCGGTTTAGGTTTAGGAGCAACGGTTTGGTCGTGATCAGCTCTTTAAAATTTGTGCACGTCATAGCTTTATGTTGTCTGGCGCCATGCGCGTGGTCACCACGCGTGGCCGACCTGCGTCGCCGTGCGGTTGTGCCGTGCGCGTGCTTGGCCGTGCACCGGCTGGCCGTGGCCTTGCCGTGGCTTGGCCGCTCTGGCCGCATCGCTAGGCCATCGGTCCGCTCTACGCCCAACCGCCCCTGCCACCGTGGCTGCCGCTGGTGGTGCTGCTACCTTCGTGCCCGCGCCGCAACGACGCCGCTGCCGCCATCGTTGCATCACCACGCTGCACGCCTATAGCTGCGCTGCGCCGCTGGCCCGCCTTAAAGCTGCGCGCACGTGGCCGTGTCGTCGTCGCCTTGCCATTGATGGCACTATGGCGCGAGCCAGTCGTGAGCGTGCGGGTCTGTCGGCTAGTGCCTAGCCACGGGCTGCGTCGGTCATGCCAACCGCGTCCCACCAAGGCACGCCCTTGTCGAGTCACCGGCTGCCCCTCCCCCACCGCTCCCTTGCTCTCTCTCTGTTCTCGTCTCCCTACCGTCGTCGAATCGCACTGGCGTCGTAGCTCCGAGAGGTCACCTCTCATCAATCCCTCTTGTTCGCGCCTCCGCTCTCACGTCCCCTCTCCAGCCGCCCCCACCCCACTTTGATTGCGGCTCAGCCGAGCCTCAATTTTGGAGCTTCGCCCCGCCACCGCACCGTTAAGACCTGTCACCGTCCGCGCCATGGCTAGCCTCCACCACTTCACCCCGCACAAATTCCTCTGCACCACTAGCTCACCTTGGCTCCCTCTCCACCATGTGCACGCCAGTGGGAGCGCTACCGCCTCCCCGCCGTCGCTGACGTGGCCGCGTCCGCCGTGCTCGTCACGTGCACG